AAAGCTATAAGTATTGGATTATAATGAAAACAAGATTAATTCGACTGAAGTTCGTAATCTCTTAATAATCACTCAATACGTAACATTTTATATCGAATAAAAGATTGGAAGAAATAAGCCATTATATATAATAATACCTCAATGTATTAGATTTCTATTATCCTTATTTTAAAAGAAATAATTAACATCGTGTCGTGTCAGAATGTAGTGCTATACCGAACTAATTTCGAATAATACTTAAATATCAAAATAAACTATATTTCTGTTAAGTATCAACATTTATTTTACTTCGTACTCTTTCCAACATTATATCCGTATTATTGTATTGTAATACAAATTTATTGATAAATATATTACGAATAGCTTGATCTCACGAGCAGTCGTTTTTTGTATAAAACAAACTTGAATATTGTTTTTTTCTCTTACATTTATTTACACAGATAATGATTACTGTACACATATCGAGTTAAAGAGAATCATTTATATGTGTTTCCAGTTATTCTTTCCATCCACCCATTTTCAAGAACAAAGTCGATTCAGAAACAAAATAAGTGCAATTATGTATAAATTTGTGCAATTAAAGCAGACGATGAAAGTGTATATTCTAGATGTATCTTCTTAACTAGTAGAAATAAATGTGAGGTTTACAAATTGATTAACGATAGTAATTTGCGACGAATAGACTAAAGGCACCTTAAAGTCCACAGTATTCAATGTTTAGCACCTGTATTATTTAATTTTATACGAATCTTGTTTAATTGGATACAATCATAGAAGTCTTCCCATTTTTCTACAACCAAATATATTATTGTGATTAAACATATGATTTTTCTATTTTTCGATACAACATATTTTGTTAAATAAGTATATATATAAATTTTTTCATATATGAAATATCGTGTAATGTTTATTTTTTAAATTTAAGTAAATAAAAAATTGTTTCAAAATATAAATATATGTTTGTAAATATAAATATAAATTCATTTGAATTTAATTTCAAATAATGTAATGTATAACTGATAAATTGTATTAATTTTTAATCTTTATTTAAAATATTTTACAATAATGAAATGTAATGTATTTTTTAAACAAATATTTATTCAATTATTGTATATCGAAATTTCAATTCGTCGAAATGTAATTTTTATCATGGTAAAGCACTTTTAAAGAAATCATTATAATATATTATATCAGTGAGAAGACTTTTGCGATTGTTTCCGAATGTCTAATTATTTATGACGGAGTTATGTACTTAAATATCTTGATGTTTTAATTTGGTCCAATTTGAAAGACGATTACATTAAGTACGTCTTCGACAAATTTTTCTTTAGCATGTGTGATAACATAAAATACATTAAAACGAATCATAATTTATTTTCAATTTCTTAGACTTTTCGATTTAATTATCATGTTGACAAATAGACGTTCTTGAAATTGTTTTTTTAAATAAATTATTAAATTAATAAATTTTTGTTAATATAAAATTAATAAGATATTTTATAACCATTTTTTTTTTACAATAACTATTTTACATTACTTTTTATATGCCTGTCGATGGTATAGATCGTATAATATATGTATACTTACGAAAAATAAGACAAGAGTACAGACAAGTATATTTATTCACATTATAATCCGTTTTGTTTAAGAAATTAAAGCACAAAGAGAGATAAGAAGAAACATAACATTAGTTACACATTGCTCTATAAATAAATAAGTAAAATAATAACTTTGTTTATTACTAACTGAAAAGAACCAAAGTACTAAGTGGTTAAAGAAAATGTTATTTAATCTTCCTGACATGTCTTTTATGTTTGTTATGTCTTTCTTATATAAAATGTTATTGTGTTATTCTAGCAGTTATTCTAAAATATATTATTTAAAGAAGTAGCAACCAATTTATGTGAACTCACTCAGTGTTTATATTATTTTACAGTAATTAAAGTTTGTATATATTTTAGGAAAACATCTTTAATATATCTCTAAAGTATTAATAAACTATTATTTGTAAGATGTAATGTAAGAAACATAAATAAACGAATCTCATCTTTTTTTTAATTCTAACAATTCTATTAAAAAATTATAAGATGTTTCATAGTATTAAAATTAATATTAGTTTTGATGTTTGTTATTGTATTATGTTATAATTATAATTCAATCTGTGTTACAAAATTTGTATCACTTAACATATATATATGTATATATATGTATATATACTATTGTGCTAAATTAGAAAAAAAGTAAAGTTTCCACATGATACAGGCATGTAAAAAATATTTTTAAAGTTAGTTGAATCTAAGAATCTTAAAATCTTCAAAAATAAAATGATTACATTAATATTGTGTATGAATTTAATGTATCACACAAATATAACTTAACCACTGTATATTGTTCTTAATAATAACTGATGTGTAATGTTATTGATATTATTTATGTCTTGATACATATAAAATGATATCAAGTAACTTAAAATTAAACAAATATTCGCAATAACTTTGAAATAGTAACACAACCAGCACTGTATATACTGATATGTAAAGAAAACAAACAAAAAAGAATATAAAGAAATATTACAAAATAACTCAAGTTTGTTATTATAATCGGCAAATTCATCTATAATATAAAGTATATCAATGATATCATATACAAACTACTCTAGGTATCTCATAAAATATTGAGTATTTTAAAATTCAAATTTTTAAGCAATAAATAAATTCAGTACATAAACTTTTCACCCAAATAAATGAAATATTTAAAATTATTAACCTATAACGAATTTTTTATTACTCTTTTACTATAAACCACGTTTTATAAAATATATTGTATATTATCTTTTTATTTATTATTGAAAAAAAATTTGCAGTTGAAAGTGAAGATCAAAATACCTATATCTAATGATTAGTTAAAATTTTCCTCTGAAATATTATGAAGTTTTCAAATTACGTAAAATAAGAAGATACCCAAACACATTTGTTAAGTAATGCACATATATGTACTTATAGCAATGATTGATTATTAGAAAACCTTTAGTTAGAGTAGAATGCTATTTTATACAAAGTTTAATATTTTAATGAAAAGAATTTTTGTATCTGAAAATCATTCGAATGTTCTTCTTTTTCTAATGCTTCACTATTACTAATAAGAAACTAAAGTTTTCCAAGAGTTAGTATCTGTATAAATAATTTTTAATTTTAGACATAAATAAAGTTAAATAGGCCAATTATAATTTTTATAGAACAGAATATATTAACTTATACGAATATTAATTTCTTACAACAGTTTCTACTGTTAAATAGTGTTCTGTATGCACAAATCTACATGACCACATACCGGCACTTTACCCATACAGGTAAATTTTTTTATACATCTAACCGAGTGCAGAAAGTATTATGATTTGTTGTTGCAACGATTCGCTGTATCAATTGTTAATTACTAATTAAACTAAATATTAATTATACGTATATGACACAGTAAGACTAAATATACATATACATTGAGCTTCTTATCGAAGCCATCTTCATCGAGTTTGTCGTATAAATAAAATTTCTTTAAATATAAAACACTAGCACTTAATAGTTTCGCCAAAAATATATTACGACAATCAGATTTTTTATGGTAGACATTAAGACGCGCGTTGATTTTCGTTAATTTTCGTCCGGTAAATGCCGAGTCACTTTGACCCAATGTTCATATCAATCAACTAATGTGGAATCAGATTTTATCACTATAACTAATACATGTATCTACTTAGTAGTAGATAGTATATTATTTGAAACAAAGTATTTTATAGCTAGTATTCATTCCAGTATTTAAAGTGTTAAACGTATTCATAATTATATAGAGTATATACAATTTATGAAAAATTTTGCAATTTTCAGAGAAAAATTACTAATTATAATGTTTGAAGCCTTTAGATATTTTATCTACAATGAATGAAGCAGTGAATTCCATAAAAAAAGTAATTACATTACAATTATGTTTCAGATATACTTGTTTGGCAATGATACAATATATAGTTTAGAATGATAAAGTTATCAACATATTTGTGACGTAATAAATTTTATCTTATGTATATACTGTACATATAAAACATAATACAGTATATATGTTTAGTCACATAAATTACTTTGATATTGTTAAAAAAGTATTTCGAAGAAATAACAACATCAGAATTTAATATAAAATGTTGTTTTAAAAGTCAAAGTGACCCAGTATTTGTACGTTACTGTCAAATTATTTATCATTCAAGAATTAATGTACATTTTTTAGTACAACATTATATTTTTCTGATTTAATAACCACTGTAGGATATAATTTTTCTTTGTATCATTAAAATGAATTTTAAGTAGTTTACATATCAGAGCAATTTTTTATTAGACCGGTTACTGAGTTTATTTTTTAGCTTAATTTTATAAATGAAAGAAGTAAGATTTTAAAGTAAATAAAAATCTTTAAATCGTGGAAAATGTTCAATGAAACTATAAATAATTTACATTTCCATATTCTTCCTCAAATATTCATATATACATATTCACATATACGTATCCACACAGACGCACGCACGCACGTATGCGCGCGCGCACACACACACACATAGCATGTGTATATAAACATGCATAAAATTATACATGTGCACACATATACGCGTGGCTCACACACATATGTACATACGTTTGTATATGTACATATGTATACAGCTCCAACAACATTCGCTGCACAATTCTTCGAATAGAGCAATGTATTAATCTATATACAATGTATAGCACTAATGTGCCAATCGAATATCTGATCACAAGTTTGTACAAATTTTGTTTGTACATATCGTATTGGTCACCTATACTATAAATATTTATTTAATTTTTTTCACTCTCAGCAATATATGAGACGCTTGAGGATTTTATAGCAAAATAATTTTTGCGATTCAATATTAGAAAGTGCTTTTACACAATAATACTACTTATACAGTTTCAATTTTTTTGCTAAGACTAAGGCGTGTAGAATTGCATGGAAACGATGATGTAGCAAATTCTCAATTAGTAACAGTTCTAACTGGTCTTTGCATAAAACGTGGCAATTATTTCTACTTTGATGTCTGACACATTTTTATGATACTCTGTATTTTGGTATGCGTCTCATATTTCTGTAAATTCGGATATATAATGTAAATATACTATACCCAAATCAGTTAGAGTCCACACATATGAGATTGTCGGCATATATGCTCGACTGTGCGGACTTTTATTTCTAATAAGCAGATTGTACTACAGCTTAAGATAATTTTCACCTTTTCACGTTGATACGACAGTATTTGTCGTTGTTGACTGAGCCACTGTTGTCACTGTTATCAGAGTTAACGAAGTGCCGAGAGAATTTGGATCCGCTGTTGCTGTCGTAACAATATCCTTCTCAACACACATTTTCTTTGACTCTTTATGTTCCTCAGATGAATTTGACTTTCTTTTGTGATTCGAACTCGATGAATGAGAACGACTTGACGCTGTGTCGTCTTTCGATGAACGACTACTAGATGACTTTTTCTGTCCATCTCTTCCATGACTATGATGCCCCTCTCGCCTTTTTTCCAACTTTTTGTCACTATCTTTATTATCTGTACGATCGGTACTTTTACTAGAAATGTTACAATCTTTGGGCAGTGAAAGGATTTTTAATGAATCCTCTTTATTATTAGTTTCTCCTGTTTTATTCTCAGACTTATTACACTGAGGACTTCGATGATGGTGCCTCTTATGTTCTCTATCACGCCTATCTCGATCTCTTCTGTCTTTATGCCGCTGATTTCTAGAACTTTTATCATCTCTATGCTTTCTTTTAGATTCTGACTGCATTGTATGCATATCAGATGATAGTTTAGATAAATTTTCATCACTGCTACCATTCCTACTATTGTGTCTTTCAGTTTCGGTTAATGGAGATGTAGATGTAATTGAAGAACAAGAGGAAGAATTAGTAATTTTCGATGTTGGTACTGAACTTTCTTCAGATGAATTAGCAGTAGTTAATACACAAACTTTTTCATTTTTTGATCTTTCTTTAGCTTCATCTTCGGCCATTTCAATTAATGCTTTCACTGCATTTTCAGTTGCACATTCCTTTTCTGATGTGAACGCCAATGTAGTTTCCACTTCCAATAATTGACAATATCGTTCTACTTTTGTTTTATCATCTTTGTACTTCTGTTCAGCGATTTCAAAACTTTCTTTATGAATTTTTTCTAATATTTCTTTTGAAGCTTCTGCCACACCAGTTCGTAAAGATTGACAGACTTCCTCTACGTCAGTCTTTGATTTATATATTGCAATTTCTAAAGCTTTGTCAACAACTTCTGTAGCATAAGTTTTTGCTATCAATTGTCGTTGTGCTAATACAGTTTGTTCAAGAATAACAGTATTACAATCAGAATTTTCATCTTCCAAACAAACCTCTGATGAACATAATCGTCTTTTATCTTCTTTCGACGTAGATCCCGAAGTATTAAACTTATTCGAAGATTTAGATTCTGTGACATTTGAAATGCTTTCTTTACTTGATGTATTGTTACTGCTAGATCGATTGTGATGACTTCGATTGTGATCTAGTTTATGACTACTACAATCATACTTTTTTTTCTCTCCAGAGTGACTACTATTACTGCTACTACTACTGCTGCTACTGCTGCTGCTGCTGCTACTACTACTACTACTGTGAGAGTGATGACTGGATGATTTTTCATTAGATCGTCGACGGTCTTCATGTCTTCTTTCAGATCTCTTATCATCTCTTTTTTCACTGCTTTGTTTTTGTTCTATTGTACTATTTTTTGTAGATTTATTATTAAAAAGATCCGAACAGTTGTCACTATTCTCTGTAGAATCTTTCCTTTTATTTGAGATGGAAGAATGTCTTGTATGTTCTCTATTTTTACGATCTTCTTTACGCTTTCCATGATGATCTGATTTCTTCAAATTTCCTTGATATTCAGCAGCCCTTTCTTTTGCTTTTTTCTCTTCGAGTGAATCAATAGAATGTTTTTGCTCTATACGTTGTCGGTTTGTATTTTCTTTTTGTTCATCTCCTATATTTACGGTTTCCAATGGTTTCTTTTCTTTTATACGGTGACACGGTTCGTTTCCAACACGTCCATGTCTAACGCTTGAATTATGTTGTGATTCTTGATAATACTGTTTCAATCTGACATGCCACGCTATACTTGAAACTGCAGAAACCGTTCGAAATTGATGAATTATATTACGTGGTAAAAAGTAAATATCATTATCATATAAATTTATTCTAGCATAACGAATACCCTGTCTACGTAACTGATTTAATTTAGCATCTTCAACCCATTGTACACATTGTGATATTGGTGGTTCATGAAGGTCTAACTGCAATTTTTCGGCTAGTTCAGGAAAATCGCCAGCATAGAAAGCTACAACATCTTTTGTAATTCTGTTATATTCTGAAGCATGTCCACCGTGAACAGCTTTCAATATACCAACTGCTGCCGTTGTCATCCTATCTAATCCATGACCAACATGATCAGCATGTGCCTTGGTACGATCTTCAAACATATACTCGCGTGCTTCACTAAGACGTGGTAAATACTGCAGATTTCGTAATTCATTAATGCCTGTTCTACGCCTTTTATAAGGGCTTTTATTTATATCTGCTGTTGGAACTAATTGTTCTCCAGGTCTGATCCATAAAATTGGACCATCATTTGATTCTTGCGGAGTATCCATCTTAACAACAGATAATGGACCCCAAGGCATAGTCTAAAATAAACAACAATAAAAATTATGTAAACATAAATTCATGTTAAACATATAAAATGTTTGGTAAATTATGGTATAACCAGTGTAAATATTGTTCATATTATCATAAATTCTTTATTTTATGCTAAGGAGCTCTACATTGTAGCTAAAAAAATTTTTTTACTTGTACTTTTAAATTATTAAGAATTTTACCTACTCATGTTTTACTCATGTTATTCATGTTTATATATATCCCTAGGAGTTACTTCAATTATATGTATGTGTGTTATGGTATTTTAACTCAATAAACTTATAAGAGATATTTATAATCGTTCCAATCATTATAAAAGTGGCCTAAGTTAAGAATATAACAGAAATGAATTTTTCATTTATTTTATACTACATTTACTTTACAATAATGTAAAATTATCTTTGCAACAGCAATAAAGACTAGAATCATTAGATTGTGATTATATCAAAATTAATTTTTTTCACTTTTTCAAACACAAAACTTCGAATATTTTAAAGCAAAACATACATGAGTTAGGCCATTGTCATAATCACTGGCATAGTTGCAAGATATTTATTTTTTTTTAATGTTAGTCTCCTTAGTTTTCACACAAATATTTTTCTTTTTCCTTTTATAATGAAATACTCTTCTGCTTTTTCTATCGCTAAACGCTTTACGTAGATAAATAAAATACTTTGATGTACTATGGTACATTAAAATGTTCAGAATATTTTTTAATAATAGAGGTAATTTATTTTTTATAAAATTCAAATATAATATATCAATGGGAAAAAAAGAAAAAGATATGTTGCAGTAATATTTTAGAATCAAATATTCTATGCTGTATATTTACATTTTATCTTTATTGAAAATTTATTTTTTTAAAATGGCAAAGTGGCAAGGTTTTTTAAGTATATTATTAATTACTGATTACTAATATGCTAATCAATAACTGAAACCAATAATAGAAAGTCATATGTTGAACAAACTTGTAATTCAAGAATACTTACACTCTTACACAAGTATTCAATTTAAAAACATTAGCATTATTAAGGGTTGACTTTTTTATTTGTTTACAAATTTACTTTAGTCAAATAGTATAAGTGTAAGTGTAATAACTAGTAATTTTATATTTAAAGTCATATTTGACAAAAAAAAATATATAAAAAATGAAAAAAAAAAAAAAAAAACGTGTTTTATTCTTTTGACTTATTTTGTTATAAGAAATTACCTCCTCAGTGATTGGATTATGATTTACTTGATTATTTATATTGGAATATATTTCTTTTGAAAAAAGTTGATACTCACCAATCTTAAAAATGGATTTTCTTCCAATTTCTGTAGAAGATCTGGAAAATATCCACCAACTTCTTCATGAACAGTGCCTACAAGACTTATTTGGTGGAGAGGTCCATATCTAACAGTACCATTGCTATAAGCTTTACACACTTGTTCTTTGTACTGTACCATAGTTGTAGTTTCTATATCACTGTTTCTTCCTAATACACCATTTTTAACAGTTAACGTAGGATAATTATCTGCCATATAATCCAAGAGATCAGGGAGATATGCTGCAGCATTATGTACTATTCCCATAACATGATACGCATTGCCATTTTCATCCTCACCAAAAACTACCTACAATATTGAAATTTTTTTATGTACTTACTACTTTATACAATGGTAAGTTTATATTGTACATAATTTAAAATCATTTATAATGAGTCATATTAATTCACCATGTATTATTCTAAAATAATTATAACAGACATAAAATAAGATTAAAATGTAATTATTTGATATTTTTCAACTATTGTTAACATAACTTCTTAAATTATATTTATGTTTACATACTTTGAAATATTCTTGAGCTAATTCCTCTATTTGTTCATGAGACAGTGTATCAATTTCATCTTGATACATATGCACAACAGTTGCACCACCATTAGGATAAGTTTCTATATGAATGAACTTCTTGTACTTTAGGCCTTCTAATATTTCACTTTTAACTGGTGTATTGTGAAGCATTTTATAATTTTTTGTTTGCAAGTTTAACCTGAGATTTTCATTCGTAGATTTTGAAAGTGGATGAGACATTGGCTTACTGCTTAATGAAACTATGCTACGATCTCGTTTACACTGTACACCAATGCTTGCTCGTTTTATTTTACTACGTTTATAACATCGCGAGCAATAACGTCGTTCACTATGTTCTTTACTGCGTTTCTCTCTTGAAGATGAATACGATTTAGATTGGGAACTTGAAGATGAAGTACCAATACAATTTATTGGTTTATCATGAGACAGTACGGTATCTGTCCGATCAATCATTGTCGTAGGTATATTATCACCAGCCCAATCTGACTTAACTATACCTAATTGTTCTTGAGAATCTACCAATTCTGTTTTTACTTCAATAAGTTCTGATTTTATATCTCTATGACTTGTATCCATCTTGTCTGTTTTTTCTTCTTCTATTGATTTTATTTGTGTAACAGCAACTTGTTCTTCAGCTTTTTCCAGTTGTTCACAAAATGAATAAGAAAGATTCTTATTAACTTTAGCAGTTAAATTGTTTGTATTTTCTGAATCATATTTTGCTGTATCCATTACAATAGTTGAAGTCATAATTGGTGATGTCATACTACTAGGGAGTGTTGTATTTGGACTATTTGGACTATCAGATACTCTTGGAGGATAATCTGGGCTTCTTGGACTACTAATTACTTCACCGTTACTTTGAGGACTTTCTCCTAACTGAGGGGTATTGCCATGTTCAAAACTTACACATCCTTCTAGTTTACTTGATAATGTGTGTAGCCCACTAGATACTGTTGTATCTTTATTACATGCTAAATCAACCTAAGAAATATAAACATAAATAGAAATTTATTATAAGTTATAAGAAATTTGTTATAAGTTTAATAATTAATTATGTTTCATAACTTATTTTCATACAAATATTATAAACAATAAATATACATACATGGATAGCATGCTGAACTGGTTCTATTAATGTTTTCATTAATTCATTGTTGCAGTGATCTGGATTTTCTATAATATACAATATTTATTTTTTAATATAAACTTTTAAATTTGATTAATTATAATCTTTATACAATTAGAAAATGAAAGGGAGATTTTTTTAATAAAAAAATACAAAAAATAATTTGCTTCAGGTATATAAAATATAAATATCATATAAAAATAATATATTTTTAACATTAAATATTTATTAACAAATATTATTAAATTAATTATAAATATATATAAATTATAATTTAAATTCTTATATTGTTTTAGTAACCTATTAAAATAACAATAAACAATAGTTTCACTGACATAAATATCAACAAAAGTTTTATATCACATATACTTTTTCAATATGTCACTTTTTAAATAAAATAAATATAAGAGTTTAAGCATATGTATGATGCCAAATAATGTTAAATGATATTACCGTCTGGTTGTTCAGAAATACAGGTAACACGATCCAGATCATTCCTTTGATTGGACATGCTGTGCGATTCGAAGGATGATGTACGTAATTCAGTGTTGACCGCAATTTTAAAGCTAATACGTTTTTCCACATCACCAGAAGAGCTCATGAAATTCACGTTTTTCCGTAATTCGTTCCCTTCCGTGTTTGTATTAAACGATGACGCTGTAGAGAATATCGTGGGCGTCCTGATTGAATGCAAAGCGAAATTGTCCGAAAATTCGTTTGACTCTTTAATAACACTATTCCACGTTGCTCTCGACACTTTTACACTGGTTGTTTCCGTTTGTAATGGTTCAAATACTTGCTGAATTGTATTATTTACATCACACCGTTCATTTGACACGATACTTGGTACCAGTCTCGGATGCCATCTTGATTCTGTGAGCGACGTCCTGAACATAACGATACTACGCAACATTTGATTGGATATTTCTTAGCCGCCTTTTGAGTAGACCTTATTCTATTCGTCTGAAATCGGATAAAGAGTAGGGGTAAGACCAGTAGATATAGAGGTACCATGAACATTTTTATTTATTGGAATCTTCGATCCCCAATCTTATTTTGTCTGTAATTTTTTGATTATAAAGAACCATGTATTGCTTATAATTCTCGTATAGATTGCATATTGTATAACAATAATCACTTAAATACAAAATGTTATGTACATTTTAAAATAAATGACATTTATTATGGATATATAATTTTACCGGCAATTTTAAAATCGTTTTTAAATTTAAATAACATGATTTTCGTAAGTTACTATTATTTTTTCTATCTAAACTGATAATTATTTTTTTAGAAGATTGGTATAAATTTAAAATAAACAGTATAAATATTAATAATGGACTATATTGTATTATGCTACATACATATATTTTTCGTTCATTGCATTTTCATTAAATACTTGTTCCAGTAAAATTATAGAATATTTCTTTAAAACAAAAGATATCAAGAAAAAATAATTTAAAGCATGAAAATATTCTGTTTTTAAAATACGTTTGTTACAAAAGATAAAAACTATTATGCATATTTATATATATTTTAGTGGAATAAACATTCATTAATATGGTGAATTAATCATTACTAAATTTTATAAAGGTAAACATTTTTTAAATAGAAGCTCCTATAATTATGAATAAAATAAAATAAAATAATTATTTCCTTTTTAGAAAAATAATTATTTATATTAGATGAATATAAATATTTAATGCCTTCAAGTTTGCAAATAATATTGATGCATATAATTAGTTTACATCTTAAATAAATTAATTTAAACTATTTTATATGTTTTTTTACCATTTTCTTGTCAAACTAATTTGATAAATTTTAAAACTATATTTGTGTCACTAGTAATGAGTGGGTAAGTCGCCATTTTTCTGTTAATCGACTGTTATCCTCGGAACTATATGTCTGATAGTGATGCTGATATATTTTATAAGTTAGTGAATATTGATTCAATATAGTCATAAATAGTAATTTAGTAGCTAAATATAATTATTTATCAATATCTAATTATATTGACCATATATGTGGTTGTGTGTTTAATCTAATTAGGGATTATTAAGGATTATTATTTGCTTTCAATTAAAATAAAATTTGTTTAAATTATGTTTAGACTTTATTACTTTATTTAAAAAATATTAAATGTGTAGATTAATGAACCATGTAATGTTAAATGTAATTTAATTTTATAGTATATGTAAAACATGAAAAATAACTTCAGATATAGTAAAATATAACAAAATTTAGAATATTTATATTTATTTAATATTGTGACAATTATGTGTAATAAAGAAAAATAATATAAATCAAATGAAGATAGAACAAATTAAAATTGTAAAAATTAATATTGTAATTTTACATGAATTTATTGAAAATATGATGTTTGTACCTATTCAAAGCAATAAAAATAATGTAGGATTTTCAAATTTAAATTTTGGTTAATATTCATTATATAGACCCTTTTTAAATATGTAACATGTTTTATTTCATTTTTAATAAGCATTGCTTCTATAATACAATAAAAATGATTTACATGAAATATGTATATAATTATCATGTACAAAAAATTATTTACATTTATTTTTTGCAAGATGATTTTTAGTTATTAACATTAGAAAAATGTTTTAATACAATTTAATTCTATGTTTCACTTAATTGTAGAAGTTGTTTACTTTTACATCTGTTCACTGTATTATGAATACATCATCATTATTATTACAATATCATTAATCATTTCTTAATTAATTTTTAATATAAAACTATAAAGTACAATATTATTTATGCAATTATTCTTTTCCGTTGATTCTAATCTTGACTTTATAAGTCTATTTCTATTATATTTATAATGCTCAAACTAATAACAACAAAAAAAAATATGACATCTGAATTATGAATAGTCATGTTTAATATATTACTTTTTATGTTTTTTTGCATGATATTAAAATTAACCCTAACAACTTTTAAATTTTTCTATTATTCACAAATAAAGACGTCTTCATTTATCGTTCCATATTTAAATAAGAAAAGAATTATAGGGCAATGAGATAAAATTTAACTTAATCATTTATATCCAGAATAATAAATAATGAATATAATGCTTAAATCTTATTGTTTTATTTGACTAAATTTTTGCTCTTATCACATTGAGACCCAACTGTGTGATTATATTTTGTAATGCCACCTGTATTCATTTGTAAAGTAAATAATTATGTTATAAGTAATCATAATTAAATTATATAATATATATAATATTTATTGTCAACTGAAGAGATAGATTTACTCATTTAGGTGATTTTTACCAATCTAAAAAATGAGTAAATTTATCCATGTAGGTATCAATGTGGTAAGCAAAATGCTATTTATTTCTATAAAAAATATATATTTTATATTGTACATCATGCATTGTAAGTTTCACAATTATTTAGAAATAATAAACGCATGAAATACTTTTCTTATTTACAAATTAAAGAACAAGTTACAAAAATAATCAGAGTTGTAAGGGTTAATATTACAAGTGCAAAACAATCAGTCGATTTTTTATAATTATAATCACTGTAGTTAATAGTTATGGGATGACTTGAATGCACTAAATATAGGTGAAAGAATGTACATAATATATCATTGTGCAGAAGCTTCTGCTTTAATAAAGAAAAATAGAATTTTTTTACTAGATTTTAATTTTACATTATTAGTTTTAACACGTTGACTGCTATATATGAAGCATATTATTTATATTTGAATTTTTACTGTTATTTCCATACAACACAATTGCTCACATTGTTAGGATTATATATGTTTCTGATGTCTGAAAAGAAATAGGAAGTTATTCTTAATCTTTTAAAATGTACAACACGCAACCATTATATATTTGATTTGGTAAAATACACAAAAATAATATTTGTAAAGACCTGTGATGAAGAGTTAATTGTGCTAGTGATATAACATATTTTGGTCAATATTCTTGATCATGCAAATGTATAAAATACATTTTGTATTTACAATATAACCTACATAAACGTGAATATAAAATTTGAAAAATACACAAAGTCGAAGAACATATATAAGATTAAATATTTTTGGTAACAATAGCTTTTTCTATTAATAATTTAATATGTGAAAAAATATATAAAATTATATCCATTTACAATATAATTTTTTCAAATATTCATTACATTTAATACATTTTGATAAACAACTGAATTAATTCAGTATATAAGTGAATTACAATAAATATAAATATTTAATTAAATGTATGCAACAAAATTCAAATTTTTTATCTTTCACAAAATAAAAAAATTCTTTAAGAGAAATTTAAATAATTTTTTATGTAATAATTAGAAAACTTACTTTGTTACAAGATTTATTCAAAAATTGTATTGTTATTCTATAATTTGCATTATTTTTAAATTTAGTTATATCACTTTTAAATTTTATGAAAATAACAACAGTTATCCTTTATATTATATATATTGTATCAATGTAATGTAATAGATACTGCATATTTTCTTATTACGAGAAGAATATAACTATTATGAAAAAAGTAATATAACATAGTATAAAATTTAGTAAAATTTAATGATTGTGTGCTTATGAATTAGCTATCAACGTGTTAAAATTAAATTATGCATTTGTGTTAACGGTCACAAAAGATAACATTTTTTAAGTTAATTGGATTGCACTATCTTTCATCTTTTTACTTTTTTTCTTTACAGTCTTAACTTTCATGATAGTCTTTCCAGCCTTTCCCTTTATGGGTACAGATTTTTCCTTTAACGATTTCATTTGTAACTTCATTTCTGCTTTTGACAATTTCTTGCTTTTTATATTTTTTACACCAAGCTTGCTGTCTTTTTTAACTTTGGTAGCAGTTTGAATCGCTATGCCGGATCTTACACAAGACCCGGGTAGCTTGTACTAGGCAGCAACTTTCACCTTCTTCTTCCTCTTTTTCTTCTTTTTATCATGATGAAGTTCTTGTTTTTTGGCTATACAGAAACGGCAATACCAATCCTCCTTCTCAGCTGGTGGTACTTGCATACCAACACATACCCTATATGATTGAAAATATGTAAATTAAATCCAAAAGGTAAATTAGTTTAATCTCGAAGCAGAAAAAAATTATCAAATCTTAAATATTTAATAATACTAGTAAAAATCTCTTTTTCTCTGCTATATTTCATAAAATAAGGAAAGAGCACAAAATAATTAAGTATTAGCAGAATAAAATCTTGTAATAAAAAATTAAATATTTAAAAAAGGGAGTAATACATAATAATAATAGTACAAAAGCATAAATAGACTAAAAATGAAGTTCATGTTTGATCAAGCAATTGCTAGATTTGTTTCCATTACAGACTGATCTATTACAAATATGTAATTTCTAATATCTACTTTAAAAAAATTGTTTGTTATGATTTTTTGCATTCCAATTTATATAAATGTTACACACAAGAAATGTTAAAAAGTATAGAAAATTTAAATTCCGGATATTTTTATGTCTTTTTATGTCAATATATAATATAAAAAATACATATTTATTCATATTAGAACATAGCAATTTTGTTTTAACTTTTAGCATAACACAAAGTAATTATTGTCACAAAATAATAATTTCATCAATATTCACTTACCAATGATACCATGCATCGCAATCATCACAACCAATCATAGGTGAGCCATCATCTTGATTACCACATGCAGGACATATCCAAACTTTATTACCACCTTGATCCTGAAAGACTCATATCACGATAAAAACACAATATACTTCTCTTTTATTATGTATTTAGATAACCCAACCCATCTTTTCTATTTCGTTAACATATTAACAATATGTTATTAAAAAGTATATAGTATATATTAAATTTAT